TTTATCACAAATTCATTTTATTATTTTTAATTGAATAAACCACGTAAAATATTTTTTCTAAAAATAAATAATTGAAAAAGAAGAAAGGAAAGAGATATATAAAAGAAAAGAACTAAAATATCAAATATAATATGTTATTTATTCTTTTTCATCGCACTTTATATTGGCGATACTCTTAAAAAAGAGAATTGAAGTTGTATTGAAATTTATTCAAATAGTACATACATTAATCCTAACAATATAGGAACAAATGAATTAGTTGGGGATTATACTAAATACTTGCATTCATAAATTCAATTTATAACGCTTTTTTCAAAACCGTATTTTGGATAAGCAAATACCCTATTCAAAACTTGTATAGTAATAATAAAACTTGAACAAAAAAATAATAGGCTATTACCCTATGTATTATTTCAAGAACAATGAAACAAAGAATTAATTTCAATTAATCAAAAAAAAACAATATTCATTTAATGACATTCACTTAAATTTTAATATTTAAAATAGTCCAACAAAGAACATATGGAGGTGTTGACGTTTTTTTCCTAACTGGCTTTGATAATTATAATAATTATCATTTACTTATCCGACGTACTTATTTTTCTTCTCAACCCTATACATCATTAAAATGATCTTTTTATATTTTTAAATACATTCAGTACTAATCTCTAGTTACAGAGGAATTTTAAGAACAGTTTCACAAACTTATTTTGTTCACATACTCAGGAATGATTAGTTATTTTAGTTATCATAATATTGATTCATGTAATCCCACAGTTATAAGAGATGAAGATGACTTTAATTTATTTATTGTTACTACCACTGTATCTTTATCTAATTATTATCAACTATCATTATCAACAAATAATTATATTATTAGAAATAACTATAACTCATCAAATATTCATAGAGTATATACATATCCTAATCAATGGTTAAAATATGAATCATCAAATCAAATAACATTCAATATTTATAGAAAGAAAGAACCATATCAAAGAATTGAATTTAGTTTAACAATTGAACAATCAAATGAAGGAACAACATTAATTAAAGAAGTAGAAAATAATGATAAATCAATTTCAACACTAATTATTTCTTCTTCAAAACCATTAACTAATTTAAATGATATAAAATTTTCAGAAACAACATTAACAACAAAGAAAAGTCAAATAATGATTATTGGAATGAAAGGAATAACATTAGATAGTATTGGATATAAGAATTGTAATATGATGATTTATAAAGAAAAAACAAAAGAATATATTCAATGTGAAAAAGGATATTATTTAAATTCAAATAAAGAATGTCAATATGATTCACATTGTAATAAAATAAATAACCAAAATCATTGTATTGAATGTGAATATGGATATTATCTTAATTTAAATACAAAAACATGTGAAGAATTCAAAAATGGATGTAAAATTGGAAATGAAACATATTGTTATCAATGTAAAGAAGAATTTATTAAAGAAAATGGAGAATGTAAAGAAATTGATAATAAATGTAATAAATCAGAAAGAAATTATTGTTTAAAATGTTCAAATGGATATAAAATACAAAATAATCAATGTAATGGAGATAAAGAAGATCAATGTTATTATGAAGGAAATAAATGTGTATCATGTTCAAATAAATATACATTAAATAATGGAAAATGTTCAAATAAAGAAAAGAATCAAAATGGAAAGAATGAAGAAATATATTGTGAAAATGGAAAATACATTAATAATAATAAATGTATAGAATGTTCAAAATCAGAAATATGTCAAACAAATGATATTGAAATAAAATGTAAATATGAAGAATATTTAGATAATAATAAATGTATAAATAAAACATGTGAAGAAGAAAAGATAAAAAATCAAAATGGAAAATGTAATAATAATATTTCATATTGTTTAAATAAATCATATGTTAATGGAAAATGTGTTGAATGTTCAAATACATATTCACCTAATTTGAACGGAGAATGTATTAATACAAAAATAGAATATTGTGAAGAACAAAATGGATATGGATGTAAAAGATGTGAAGAAGGATATTATTTAACAAGAGACATGAAATGTTTAAAATGTGATGATAAATGTGAAACATGTTATGGAACACCTACATATTGTATGAGTTGTTCTAATGATAAATATTTAAGAAATGATAAAACATGTCAATCAAATGAAGAATTAAATGGAACATGTTTACGAATATTAGCAGATGGAAGTGGATGTGGAATATGTAAGAATGGATATTATAGAAATGGGAAAGGATGTTCAAAATGTGAAAAAGAATGTTTAACATGTAATCAAAAAGATAAATGTATAAAATGTGGAGAAGGATATTTTATGAGTTCAACAGGAATATGTAAATCAACAACAACAATTAAAGGATGTAAAGGAGAAATAGATAAAGAATATGGATGTAGAGAATGTTTAACAGGATATTATTTATAAATAAAAGATGTTCAAAATGTGGAAAACAATGTATAACATGTTTTAAATGAAAA